TGCAATGGAGCCTTCATGCAGATGCTAGCGTGAGCAAGCTTAATAGGCGGAGGTGTGGGCAACATATAGTCGTCCGAAGACCTTATCATTGTGATTCATGTACCAACTCTGTCTCTATATTAATAATGTGCATATATATATATACACCCACGCCTACATACACACACAAATGTACATATATGCATATAGATATACACATCTATGTATGCATGCCGTCATCTTCACTCCATCATATTTGTTCTTGGGTTCCTGAGTTTTGATTGGCTAGAATATCTGGTGTCGTGTATACTTTATGGCAATATGATACTCGTAGTGTATGAACCTACATCACCATGTTGTCGTACAACCCATTTATACATACATATATATATATATATGTATACATATACATATATGTGTATATGCATTCAGGACATGCATATGTATATATACATAAACACAAAAGTTAGTAAATATACGTGGCATACACTTCTAAGCATATTTTCAATAGTATGAGTATTTACGTATCTGTACATATATACACATCTACATCTATAGTTACGTTTACAGACATATATATATATATACACATATACATACTCATGCATATGAATATATGTGTAAACCGATATATACGTATATATATATATATATCGTATGTAAATGTTTTTATATATATATATAATGTTTTTATGTCTGTGTATGCATGAAACAAAGAACATACCTATGTTTATATATATATATACACATGTGTGTGTGTAGATGTGTATGTATCAAAGTATGTTATATGTGGTTTCGGGCTCGTTATGTTGTGAGATACAAAGCGGATCCGTGAATAGAATAGCAGATCTGAAAAAACTGTTCCTTTTAGTCGTATATACTTTTGACTCGTAGGACAGTGCATTTTAGATAATATGCCATACGTGTTTATTTACAGATTTACGTCTGTTAATAGAATGAAAGTTCAGTGCAGAGTGTACGTGCTTGGCACCCTGTGATCTTTCATGTCGTATCGCACGTAGTGAACGATGTTTTATGTAGTTTGAGATTTCTTGTTCAATGTGTAGGTGGGAGTGCCAATAGATATGTAAATCTGCTACAAGTGTATATGCACGCATATGGATAGATATATATATATATAGATAGATATAGAAAGGCACGCATACAAGCACGAATGCATACATACATACACACATACATACATACATACATACATACATACATCCATGCATACATACATACATACATACATACATACATACAGTTACATACATATACCCGCACGAACGTATATCCACATAAGTTACACAAGCCGATAGGATAACGGTAACGTTAAAGATGATAGAAGCCATAACAACAACTAAAAAGCGCACTCTCACAGCGACCCGGTCTCTTTTTGTTTTGCTGCCAGACATCAACTCGAATGCAGGCCCAGGCAGCATGACTCGTGGGAACCAGCGCGATCGCGACCGTGAGCGAGCGGCCAACCGTAATGCAGGCCCAGTGCGGAGAGTCGGACCTTGTGTCATGTTCTACTGATAACACTTCTCAGCCCGAGGTGCCAAAACAAATTCGACTATCAAGAGCAAAGAAGATACTGCAGTGCTGGCCTCATGTGCAGAACAGCACTTGACCAGACGGCTTGCGACTCGAGGCGATAATGCGCGAGAAGCAGCGCCTTGCAGAGGAGAAGAAGGCAGGAATCTGCAGAATCTTTCGCAAGTTTTTTGTTTTTTGGCAAAGATTCTTGTGGATAGGCTTCTGACAGTGCCGGAGGGGGCGGAGGCAAGAGTAAGTGACTCGTAGAGTACAGGTCTCAGGCTTTGCAGAGTTTGGATGTGACAGCAAACGTCATGGCTGCCAAAGCCACTCGTGGATCGTGAGTCCACTCAGGAGAGCAGAACGGAAGCCGGGAGCTGCAAGTGCACAAAGTGAGAAGACTTCGCAGCCCACGATCCAAAACTTGCCGTTTAAGACCTCCGGAGGGGGCGCACAGAACTACTAGCTGTTTGTGCAGATGCACCAGGCGCTGCAAGGACATGCTTCAGAACTTGGGCTACGCCCAGCAAAGACCCACCAAAGAGTTTGCTAGCGAGGAAAAAGCTGCCCCGAACTGGCATTCGCATGGCTTTGACCTAAAAGGGATATTTTAATCTTCGTCTGAAGAGTCCACACTGGGTTCTGGGCCCAAGCACTGCGTCTTTCAAGGCTTCTCCAAGGACCGAAGCTACAATTTTGTGTGCAGCCCGCCGACAGGTTTCACTGTCAGTGTTTCCCTTCCCTCGCTCCCACACCGCCCAGTTGCATCCGAAGGACAACAAACGACTGGCCAAAATGTTTATGCCGGAGCGATTCAAAGTTGGGGTCCTGTCGTTGTAGCATACGAAAATCTTGCCCCCGGGCGGCATATGCTCATCGCTGGTCTTAAGGAATACCATCGCACCCTGCGGCAAAAGAGAAGCGAAGAGTTGCGTGGTCCTCCGATGTCCTCCGTGTCAGTGCACTGGCACAGCGTGGATGCTGAGGTCGATGAAACAGGTCGCTGGCTCTTTTGGAGGATTGTACGCCGTTGGCCTACACTGTCTAGACCTCCCACGTTTTCGAGTGGCGTATATTTATAGGTGTTTGCAACCGAGGCTGTGATTCACCTTCTCCAATACTTCGATATTTGGACGTGCGGCGGCTCAGCAGCGGCCTTGATTTCACAGTTGGGCTGCGTTGTGATGCGAGGTTGTTGCTGCTCATGGTCGGTGCATACTTCATTTATAGGTGCCCACACCCGTTTTGCTTCAGTGGTCGTTGCAACTTCTTCATCTGCTGGTTTTCATGCCAGACAAATTGTGGACAACTGGAGCAAGGTTTGGCTTGCCTTCAACCAGGACTGAAATTCAGGGTCAGATGTCCGAAGCATCATGATCACGTCCGAATTGTCTCAAGACATTGACGGTGTATGTAGCGTTTGTTGCAGACATTCGCAGGCCAGCTTCGGTATTCAAATTATCCACCGTTGTTCAGGTGCTTCCTGTTGAGAACCGGGTCGTGCTTGTGCTGGCTTGTCTTGACGGCAGCATCGTTGTCGCCGTCGTTGTCGTCTTCGTTTCTGTGGCTGCAGCAGCTACTGCTGCTGCTTCTGTTGTTGCAATTGTTGTTGTTGCAATTGTTGCTGTTGCTGTCGCTGTTGGTGCTGG